TGTTGTACATAGGGTCGCTATGAGTCACAAGCGAATCGATGGCACATAACAACAACAACAACAACATATATACACACACCTTTGAAGAGGTCATTGACATGACATAGATAATAACTGATAGAATTTGAAATGAGGGTGAAAGTGCTGAAGTTGGGGAAAAGTGTTAGATTTTATAACTCTTTAGATTGAGAATTACATATTTACTTAAAGTTTTTTTTAACTTTTTTCTTTTATTCTGGTTTACTTACAAATTCCATATACATTGTTTTTCACACCATATTTTTCCCATTTTCTTAGCCCATGTCTCCCTCCACCCATGAAATTATTCAACCCTATGGCTGCTCCTCTCCACATCTCACCCCTGTGCTCACACCCTTCCCTACTTAGATCCTCATACACATTTTGCTAGTTATCTATTTCTACAATAATGGTCTTATATAGTATTTGTCCTAATGAGACCACACACAATTTTGATGTTTTACACTAATGAAGATGTAGACACACAGACATATGTACGTAGGTTGTTGGGCACCATCAGATCGACTATAACTCATAGCAACTCTATGAACCACAGATCTGAACCTGGCCCTACTCTGCATCATCTTCTGTATCTCTGTCCTGCTCAAGCCCATTGCTAGTCACACTGTTAATCCTTGAGGGTCTTCTCTCTTTTGTTGACCCTCTAACATTTTCAGCCTTCCATGGCTTGGGTTAGATATAGCTTAGTTCTCAAATTGACATCCTTGCTATTTAGCACTTTAAGGAGGTCCTTGGCAGCAGATCCACCCAATGCAGTACATTATTTGATTTTTTGACTGCTGTTTCCATGGGCTTTGATTGTGAATCTAAGTAAAATTAAACCATTGACAACTTCAATCTTTTCTGGATTTATCACGATGTTTATTGGACTAGGTGTAAGGATTTTTGTTTTCTTGATGTTAAGGTATAATACATACTGAATCCATGTTGCTGTTGTATGAAACAGCTCTAATCCACAGGAGTTCTTATGTTCAATAGTCCTGTGCCATCCTTCTGGTCTCTGCTGGGCTTAAAGTTATTGTTGCATTCTGCCTTGTTGGAAGTATTTCTCTTTTTTGCTGCTTCTCTACAAAAAATGATGTCTTTCTCCAGAGTTATGCAACAAGAGCCTGCAAAGATTATTTTTATCTTTACACCATTTTGTCAAGTTAAAAAATCCTAGAAGTGATGTGTCTAGGGAGGCACTCTAGTTTGGATCAGAAACAGGCAAAGCTAAAAACTCCACTCCCACCAACATCAAGCCGAATGAATAGGAGACAATCTACCAAATATGTTGGAAAGATTTTAAAAAGAAATAGATGAATACTGGACAACAAAATGCGATTTTTAAAACAACATCCAATTAACATGTTTCTACTTTTATATAATCAATTAATTTATTAATATTTAGCGACCAGTCATTACTATTAGATAATTAAGTAATATTTACACTGAGTCAAAGTTTACTAATGAAGAAAAAGCCCAGCTGTGGCCAGGAACTCACTTCTCTGACAAGTTTCATTTCCATGCAAAACTGTGGGATTCTATCTGGCTGTGTAATGTCTTGTCATTGACAATACCCATCACTTCTCTCCAAAGATCTCTCACTTAAATTACAGAGTACTCACTACTAGAGGACTCATTGGTCCTTCAGGAACTGGATTTAAATGAGCCCTCTATGTGGTACAGTGCTACCAATAAATGCAAAGCCTGGGAAGCCCTCCAGGAAACACTGTCTGTAGTGCTCGTGTTCTATATCCCAGAGCGCATCGTGAATCTCCTTTGTTTCAAAGGCATGCCCCATTGTGCTGTTCGATTTCTACAATGAAACTTGAATTCATGGAAATTAGTTCCAGGGAAAAAAGATATTTAGGCTGATTTTCAGATAATATACAATATTTTCATTCCAGGTTAAGATGGCCTTGCAACAGGAAGGATTTGACCGGAAGAAGCGAGGGTATAGAGACATCAATGAGATTGACATCAATATGAATGATCCTCTTTTTACGAAACAGTGGTATCTGGTAAGTGTCTCTGTGTCTTTTCTAGTATCTTGAGGTTTTGCATAAAAAAAAAGTATTTCTAGATCCTCATTAAACTACGTCATGTTAGCCAGAAAACACCTCTGAGAACTTTTTAGATCCTTCAGACATTAATAGCTCATTCTCTAAGATGCTTTCATGGGAACAAATAAATGATAAACAGCCAGGGGTAAAATTAAACCAACAGCTAATCAGATTTCCCTAGCACTACAAAAAGTGCATCAATGTGTGAACAAAGACTTGCAAAAACATGTGAAAATCAATTCCAGGGCTTGGGAGGAGTGCCTAGTGGTCTCCCAGGCATAGAAATGGAGGATCATTATGCAGCCTCAGGCATCAGAGGCTTGGTCAAGTGACTTCACAAAGGACAAGGAAGAGAGTATTAAGTAACAGAGTAGTCTCTAGTGGTGCTTCCTAAAACAATGGCAAGAACTTATTTTCATGGGTTTAATTGATGCAGTATTAAAGACACTAAAAACTCAGGATGTGATTATTTTCTGGGTTGCACCAGTACTACATAATTCATTTGTACTGGTTGTTGTTGTAGTTGTTATGTGCTATTGGGTCACTTACCACGCATAGTGACCCTATGTGCAAAAGCCCTACTCTACCCTGTGTCAACCTTATTGTTTCTGACTCACCAACTCCCATTACTCCAATCACTTAACCAATACATTTCATCAAGGGTTTTCCTTTCTTGTGCTTTCCCTCCATCCTCCCAAGCATGATGTCCCTCTCCAAGGACTGGACCCTCCTTGCAATATGTCCAGTGTATGTCAGACAAATCTTCAGAATCCTTGCCTCCAAGGAACAGCCTGGTTTCACCCTCTCTAGGACGAACCTGTTTGTTCTCCTAGCAGTCCATGGTCTATTCAATTCTCCAGCACCACAGCTCAAAGGCATCAATTTTCCTTCTATCATCCTTAGTCACTGCCCAGCTTCCTTCCGCATAGCATCTAATCACAAAGACTATGACCTGGATCAGGTGCACCTTAGTCTCCAGACTGACATCATTGTTCTTCAGCACTTTGGAGAGGTCTCTGACAGCACACCTTCCTGATGCAAATGATCTTTTAACTTCCTGGCTGCTGGTACCAAGAGTGGAGCCAAGCACTCTGAAGCTATTAACAATCTCAATCTCTTCACTGTCTATCATGATGCTGCCCGTTGGCCCAGTGGTGAGAGTCTTTGTTTTCTTGGTGTTGAACTTCAATCCATATTGAAGGCTGAAGTCCTTGACCTTCTACAGCAAGCACTTTAGGTCTTCCTCAGTTTCAGCAGGCAGGGTTGTTTCATCTGCATAACAGATTGCTGATGAGTCTACCTCCACTCATGATGCCACATTTCTCCTCTAGAGCCTAGCCTTCCAAATGATCTCCTCTACATATAGATTGAAAAGGTATAGAGATAGGACACATCCCTGGCATACACTCTTCTCAATTTTGAACCATGCTGTGTTTTCCTGTTCTGTTCTGTTCTGACAACTGCTTCCTGGTCTGAGAATAAGTTTCACATAGCATGAACAAGTGTTCTGGGATTCCCATTCTCCTCAGGGTCAGCCACCATTTGTTGTGATCCACACTGTCAAAAGCCTTTGTATAGTCATTAAAATGCAGATAGACATTCCTCTAGTATTCTCTACTTTCAGCCAAGATCCACCTAACATTGGCCATAATATTCCTAGTACCACCGCCTCTTCTAAACCCAGCCTGCACTTGAGACAGGTCTCTGCTGATGTTCCAGTCTTCTGGATAATTTTCAGCAGAAACTTGCTTGCATATGGTAATAATTATATTGTTTGATAATTTTCACACTCTGTTGGGTCACTTCTCTTTGAAATGAAAACAAATATGGATCTCTTCCAATCAGTTGGCCAGGTGGTTGTCCTCCAGTTTTCTTGACACAACTTGATAAGCACTTCCAGAGCAGCATCTATTTGTTTATTTGTGAAATATGTCAGTTGGTATGTCATCAATACCTAGGGCCTTGGTTTTTTGTCAATTCAGTGCAGCCTGAACCTCTTCTTTCATCATGACAGGCTCTTGGTCATACATTTGTCTCATGAAATTCTTCTCTGTCAGCCCATTCCTTTAAGTACAAAAACTCTATATATTCTTTCCATCTTCTTTTGATGCTTCCTGAATCATTTAATATTCTTCCCAAAGCATCCCTAAGTATTGCAATTCAAGGCTTAAATTTGTTCTTTAGTTCCTTCAGCTTAAGAAATGCTGAACCAGTTTGGCCCTTTTGATTTCCTGACTCAAGCTCTTTGCACATTTCATTATAATACTTTACTTTGTCTATCCATGTTGCCCTTTGAAATCTATTCAGCTCCTTAATCTCTTCATTTCTTCCCTGTGCTTTGGCTTCTCACCTCTCTACTGCAATATGCAGAGCCTCTTCTGACATCCATCTTGATTTTTTCTTCTTCCTCTTTCTTTGTAATGACCTTTTGCATTCTTCTTGGGTGTTATTTTTTATATCTTTCCACGTCTCATCTAGTCTTCCCGCATTAGTGTTCAAGGCCTCAAATCTGTTCCTGAAATGGTTTTGAAATTCAGGTGAGATAGACTCAAGGTCAGATTTTGGTTCCTGTTGATTTGATTTAATATTCCTTAGTTTCAGCTTGAACTTGCATATGAGTAGTTGGTGGTCTTTTCCACAGTCAGCACCTGGCCTAGTTTTCACAGCTGATTATTGATCTTCTTCAGCAATTCTTTTCACAGATATAATCAATATGATTTCTATGCATACCATCAGGTGAAATCCATGTGTATAGCCTGAGTTTATGTTTCTTATAAAAAGTATTTGTAATGAATAAATCACTGATTGTACAAAATTCTATCATTCTATCTCCAGTTTCATATCTGTCCTTCTCTGTTCCCAACTTTTGCATTCCACTCACCCATTATTATTATTAATGCATTTTGATTGCATGTTCAGTTGATTTCTGACTGCAAATGTTGTTAGAAATCTTCTATTTCCTCCTCTTTGGCTGTGGTTGTTAGTGCATATATTTGAATGATAATGGTATTCACTGGACTTTCTTGTATGTGTATGGATATTATCCTGTCACTCACAACATTGCTTTTCAAGATGGATCTAGAAATTACTTTTTAAGTATGAATGCACCCTCATTTTTCCTCATTTTTTCATCTCCATCATGGTCATCTGACTCAAAGTGTCCCATGCTAGTCCATTCCATTTCACCAATACCTTGCATGTCAATATTTATGTGTTCCATTTCTTTCTTAACAATGTCCTATTTTCTTCCATTCTCACATTCCATGTTCCAATCACTAGTGTCTGCTTACAGCTGTTTCTACTCCTTTATGTTTCTATACTTGAGAGCTCAACCTCAGTTGCCATATCTGCTCGTCTAACTGTGCTCTACTGTACATAGTATTTTCAAAGTCTGCTATTTTAGAAGTCAATGGCCACTCCTTCTTCCTAGTCTATATTAATTTGAATCCTCGGATTCAGAACAGTGTCTGACAGACAACCATTTTACAGAAAAGAGCAGATGAAAGACATTTCCCCAATTATAGGAACAGTCAAGAGATTCAGTGTTATCCTGCCATTGACACGTGTGTCTTTATGCATTATGCTTAAAGAGGGGTTGTATACCAACGAAGAAGTTTATCTTTTGCTTTTCAAGGAGAGTAGTGAACTGGGGGGAAGGGGCTAAAGAAAAAAGTGCAACAATGAATGAATGAAAATCCAAAATCTCTGTAAATGTTCATTAACATTAATAAAATCTATTAAAAAAAAAAAGAGGACCAGTGACTCCAAGTAAAATTGAAGGGAAACAAGTGACTTCTTTCTGTAAATTGTTGTTGTTGTTGTTGTTATGTGCCGTCAAGTCGCTTGCGACTCAAAGCGACCCTGTGTACTACAGCCCTAAACCCTGCTCTATCCTGTGCCAATAGCACTGCCTCTGACACACCCATCCCGATTACACCAGTCACTGAATCAATCCATCTCATAGAGGGTCTTCTCCTCTTGTGCTGTCCCTCCACCCTCCCAAGCATGATGTCCCTCTCCAAGGACCCATCCTTCCTGGCAACATGCCCAAAGTATGTCAAACAAAGCCCCAGAATTCTTGCCTCCAAGAAGTAGCTTGGTTTGACCCTCTCCAGGATGAATCTGTTTGTTTTCTTGGCAGTCCATGGTACATTCAATACTCTTCTCCAGCACCACAGCTCAAAGGCATCAATTCTCCTTCTGTCCTCCCTAGTCATTGTCCAACTCTCTGATGCATAACAAGTGATTGCAAAGACCATGGCCTGTATCAGGCGCACCTTAGTCTCCAGAGAGACACCGTTGCTCTTGAGTACTTTAGAGAGGTTCCTAACAGCAGACTTTCCCATCGCAATACGTTTTTTTATTTCCCGACTGCTGGTGCCAAGAGTGTTGACCGTGGAGCCGAGCAAACTGAAGCTGTGAACAATCTCAATCTCTTCGCCATCCAACCTGATGCTACCAATTGGTCTAGTGGTAACAATCTTTGTCTTCTTGACATTGAGCCTCAGTTCTTACTGAAGGCTGCAGTCCTTGACCCTCTGCAGCAAGTGCATAAGGTTCTCCAAGGTTTCAGCAAGCAGGGTTGTGTCATCTGCATAACACAGATTGTTAATACATCTTCCACCAATCCTGGTGCCACAGTTCTCCTCATAGAGCCCAGCCTCCCGGATAATCTGCTCTGCATATAGGTTAAAAAGGTATGGAGACAGGATGCATCCCTGGCGTACACCCTTCCCAATTTTGAACCATGCAGTGTCACCCTGCTCTGTTCTGACTACTGCCTCCTGGTCCAAGTACAGGTTTCGCATTAGCACGATCAAATAATCTGGGATTCCCATTCTTCTTAGAGTCAGCCACAGTTTATTATGATCCACACAGTCAAACGCCTTTGCATAATCAATGAAACATAGATAGACATTCTTCTGGTATTCCTTGCTGTAAATATGAGTCTTTAAATG